CTGTTTTATTTTAAACACTAAAGAGGACAATTCCTAGAATATGTCGTAAAATCTCTAAATATTATTGGTTATTTCAAGTTGAAAGTATTTGAAAATATGATTTCTTGGTTAGAGTAAGCCTGATTCATCTTGACAACGTCGTTCTGATGAAACCTTCCGATGATTCCATAAAAAATTTCACATATCCCTCCACCACCTGTTTGTTATTAAGAAATTTATTAGTTATTCCACCCCAATTAGGGACGTGTCCACGGTGATTATAGTCATTTTTAATTAAACCACAGTAACATGAATAATTTATAAAAATACAACTATTTCTTAAAATTGTGATGTTGGACTTCTCTAACTCAAGTACCATCTGATAGTTCATTTTGCTGTTGTCTTCAAAACAACAAGTGATATTAAAACGTTGATTCTTCACAGATGGGGCAAAACTGGGGTATCAATAAATAAATTTTCACAATACCTTTCAGAAGATTAACCCTGTGGCCGTACGTAATAGTTTTTTTACCACCCAGAACAGTTGATCTTGGCCACGACACAAAATAAAACAGATCCCATTAAAAGCTTAATTTTTGGTGGATTTTAAAGGCAAGGAAGATCGGTAAAGGAAACAATCAATGCACTAATACTGCTAAAACTACACTTCCAAGTCGATTCAGAAATAATTAACTAAATCGAGCGTGACTTAATAGAAATATTATCACTTCATAGAAAAATTGAAAACAAATAATATTAGCAAGTTTTTCACCATTTGGGAACACTATATATTGTATTTTTCGCATTATCATAGTGAATCCATGAAACCAATCCATGAAACCATTTGTGCTGGTTTGGCCTGCGATATATTAAAAGTTTGGAAAATTAAAGGAAGTTGTAATGCGTAGATGTATTTGACGTTTGTCAGGAATATGAGTAAAGTTTGAACAAAATTATGAAATTCTAGAAAGATAGTTTTGCATCTTCACTAAAAGATATCATTCTGGACTTGTTCCAATATAAAATGTAAAGCCAATGTCTATGTATGATCTTTATTTTATTCGTCTTCTAGACTTTTATTCCAGAATTGGGCAGTATTTCAAATAAAGTATTTTAAAATACAATATAAAATATATTTTAGATATTTTATATTATAAAAAGTATAGTATAAAATACATTGTTTGTAACCGTATTTTCTTTTTAAAATACATTAAAAAGTGTTTTATTTTATTTCCAAAATACTAAAATACAAAAAATTGTATTTTATTTTATATTTCAAATACACAAAATAAATTATCATGGAGTAGGTTCCATGTATTGAGAGTCCACCAGAAAGTACTTTGTAATTAGATTTTTATAGATATTAAATTTATTTTTATTGTAAGGCATCAACACCACAATTAGTTTTTTTTGAGCTGAACTTACACAACAATTTTAGATTCAAAGGACCAAAATGTTAGTCTACGTAAAACTATAATGAATTTTATTTATATCCTAATACGTCATAGTGCAATTGTTTATCTATATACATGGGTGTCCATTAATAATAAAGCAATTTAATAGGCATTATTAGTTCTTTCAAAATCATATCAGTACTTATTTGTAAATTGGAAAGAAACTTCAACTTTTATTTCGTATATAGTTCAACTTCGTACTCCATTAAAAGATATAATCAATTTCTTTTGTAAGGAAGAATTTTAATAACTGTTGTTAAGTACATCGGTAAGAAGACGGAGTGCCTCAACAACGGGAGCAAAGTACAATGTTCAAACTTGCAAAGAAAAGCAATGAAATGGGTTTACGCGAAAACATGATAACTTCATTGTGTATATGATAATAAATGTTTAATATATATTATAATGAGTGCGTATCTAATTTCAGTGCTTCGATGAATTTAACTGGCAGTATTTGTTCATTTAAAAGCCATGTCAATTCCTTATTGTAAATTCAAAGAAATTTTTCGTTCATTTCTCTGACAGTTAAAAAAGTTGATTCATTAGGAGATGCAATAAACTTCTTATATAAGGAATAACTTTAATAATTTTTGCGAAGTGGATCGGTACAGAGCTGGTACGATGACGGAGCATGCATAGACTGGTAAAGTCTAAAGTTCAAAGTAGTGTGTTTGTATTTATTTTATGTATTTTCCATTAAATTTTCCACTGCGTTGTAACGCATCAAGCAAATGTGTTGGAGTTTATTCTATACTCTTGATATTTTCTTAGCTTGCCAGCAGATCTCTAGACCACTGTCTTTTTAGTTTAGTCGTCTTTGAGGCTAACAGGGAGGAAGATAAGAGATAGAACGAGTGGATTTGGATGATTGAGTGTAGAAGAATGAAATGTTGTGTATGTAGGATTTTACTTTTGGTATGTTCATGTCTTCGTGTATGGTGTGATTTTAAATAAACCAAGGAGTATTGACGATTTTACGAAGTATTTTGGATTGTGTGGTTTGAATTTTGTTTATGTGTGTGTGTTTAGCGGAACCCCAAAGTTCTGCTCCGTATGTTCAAATAGGTCTTAGTATGGTGGTGTAGATTAGTCACTTGTTTAGTAAGTTGAGTGGAGATCTGTAGTCCAAAAGATGTGACAGTTGTTTCTATCGTCTGGTCAGTTCTTGTTCTTTATTTTAGTGTGAATCTTCCAGGTGAGCTTTTGTCCAAGTATAGTCCGAGATACCGTACATTTGCTTTTGAGGGAACTGGCTTATTGTCTATTGTCACAGCAGGGGTTACGCGTGGTTCACAATGACTTCATCACACTTGTTTGTGGAGCGCCGAATGCATCCATGTTTAACAGAAAGACCTTTCGGCGTTTCAAGAACAAGTGTGACCGAAGTGATTGTGAACCACGCGTAACCCGTGCTGTCTTCATCTAAATAATTAACGGTACAAATTTATTATATGCAGTACAAGATATGCCTAAATGAACTTTTAAACATTGATCTAGTTTGTAAGTACATTAAGAAATGGTTAATTTGACACTGAGGTACGGATGCTATGTTAAAACAGTTTGGTTCAATGATCAAATGATTCATAAGTTAGATGTTTTGATTTCCAGGTTCGCCACATTAGTAATGTATTATTTACTAGTAGGCCCGTGCGAAAAATTTGCACAGCATATTGTTATCAAATGCCAAATTAATAAGAAAATAAAATAATGCAAGTATCAAAACATAAAGAAATCAAATGTTACTTTATAGATAAATATAATCGAAAAGAAAACAAAAATTAATTTAAATCTTCATTTTTGTTTGGAACAACATGTTTACAAATTTCAGTAAGCTGTATCTTTGCTAAAAATTGACCGATTTGGATGATTTTTTTTTCCTTTTGTAGGGAATTAAGTAATCTTTTATGTAATCATGGGCATAACCAAGGAAAAAGTATGTAATATTTTAGTTATTCGCAAATAAAATTTGTTTTCTTTCATAACTTTTTTGCCTGAATTTTCGGAGTGGTTAGACTATTTTGCCAGCCTGAAGGAGAAGGAAGCCTTCGAAATTGGTGGCTCAATCTTGAGATTTGGTGGAAAACGATGACATGGCTTGCCGGTCAAAAATACCATCTATAAATAATATAAACTCCTCCTCTCTCGATCACAAAGACCACAATTAATGTTTAACAGTACTAAAATTAATGTAAGGTTGTGTGGATGCGAACCCTATGCCTTGCTTTATCTCGAAAATAGTACGTTTTTGGGCTTAAAAACGGGTCTTGCTGTACGCATCAAAGTCTTCAAGATCCAATTTGTCCCGTATCGATCTACAGACCTACCACCGGTCCAGTATTGAAGCCTAGCAAAATGTTTGTATCGAATTTATTTATTTTAGAAAGAAAAACAAAAGTGGAGAATATGATTCGCTAACCCCCGTGAATTTCTGAATCCAATGGTACCCCATTCATGGTATTTGAGCATGACAGGAGCTTATATTTGGTACAAAACCGATTTCGAGCCTTACTATAATAATATATGTGGAGATAATTGATGAATCAGTAATAAAAACGAAAACTCATATTTAATAAAAATTTAAATGGAAAAAAGATACTGAGAGCCTTTGGATTGACACAATTATGAGTTCCTATTTCAACATTTTTGAGCAGTCATTTTAGTGATATTTCAAATTGGAAAATTTATATCTGTACAGACAGTGGGGGGGGGGAGGGGAGTAGTTGATTCCAAAATAGTTTATTGCAGTGTTGAAATATAGAACTGTAGATAAAGGTACAAATTTTTACACTCGAAATATCACTAAAATTAATAATAAAATTGCTGAGATTGGAGTTAGTCATTCTGTCAACTGAAAGCCTCATACAGGAGTTACAAAAATGAAGATTCATTAAACTTCTTTTTTTAAACATCACAGGAAAACAATATATAAGGATTCCTCTATTGGTTAATTGAAAAGTTCCAACTTCAAAATCAAATTTCTTGATTTCCAAACCTTGTAAAAGTTTTCAATTTTAACAGCTTTCTTGTTCCGATGGTTATTCTAATTTGTTTATAAATTAATTATGTTTTGTCTTTTATTTTCTTTGAAAATTAGAATTTTTGGAAAAAGTTATGACAGTTATATTATCAGTACTCTATTTCAAGGGTCTCCAATCTTTTTGATCCGTGGGCAATATTGGGACCTCTACTAAGTCCCGAAGACTACATCCATACCTCAACTAAATTCAGAAGGCCATGAATTGTGATGAAAAAAAAATTAGCTCTATAAATGACGCTTCAGTTGTGAAATAAGTTTTCTACTCACTATTTACTATTTACTACTCACAACAATAAATATATTAGTAACCTCGTGTTTGATTGCGGCCTGTAGCATAGACACTCTTAGTCTATTTGATAGCTTTGATAGTGACTTCTAACTATTATTGTTACCAATAATTCATAACTGTGGATTTTATAACGATCTTATATGGATGATAGCTAAATATGAAAGAATTTGATAATTTACTAAACAAGAAATAAGAGATTGTAACAGATAATAGTTCTAATGAAGGAATATGATCGCGCCCGAAAGATTAGAACAGGATTCCATATCTAATACAAGTTTAATATAATATGGATTCTGACAATATTATGCACATATACTTTTGCGGTTTTCATAAATGCTATCGTTAGTATTATTTAATATTTAATTGTATAGATTACAGTAATATAAATATTAAAATTTGTATATATAACAGTACTTAAACAAATAAAAATACCTACGATTAAATATAAATAAATATAGCATCTATAATTTTTACTTTCACTTCCCCTTTCTCTGAAAATATTTATTTCTGCTAAGAACAGGGTGCTAAGTGAAAGTTGTGTGATGCGCACAATGCACCATATTTTAAACTTTCCTACCTATACTAGGTAAGGAAAGTATTGAGATTAGGTCAAATTTCCGATATGCAGTCTTCTATACATTTTAGAGCCCCCTGAGTCCGAAAAACATATTTTTAGCCATTGGTCTGTCTGTCAGTGCGAAGAATTTCTCGGGAACTAGAGAACCGATTTTGTTGCTTCTTTTTTTATTTTGTAGGGTTTTGATTACTGATGCCTGTGACAGAAATTCGGTGATCCATGCGCAATAGCTGTGGCGCAATAAATGAAAAACATGTATTTCTACAGGGTCTAACAATTTTATTGAAACTTTCCTATAAAGTTCTAAAGTACTTATTTAATAGGGGGTAGCGTCCGACTGCTATCTGCCAATGTTTATAACCTTAACACTGATAAGCTCTTCATATCATATTTATCTTACTATATTCATATTATTATATTTTCGTATTCATATTTATTGTATTGTATTCATATTATTGAAATTGTGAACAAAAACAAAAACAAATGTAATAATAAAAAAATATTTTTATTTTACAACATATATATTAAAAATTACTCTCCCTAAATGATTTTTTCTTTTCGAAAAAAGACTCTCGTCTACTTCCACGACTTTGCCAGGCCCTCCAATTTTTTATTCATGACACAAATTTTGTCATGGGCACAAACTTCTCTTAAAAATTTGTTCCATGCTCCGATAGTTGCGTTGGATAGTTTGAGCTGCTCTTTCCCCCACTGTATTGTTGTTAAATTATGGGAGCACCCATAAATGAACTTTAAAGCTGTTAAAAAAGAAATCCTCGACCCCTCTAACCAGGTTCCTGTCCTTATAGAAACGGTTTTGTTATAACTAGGAAAAAATCTCCATTTAATCTTCCCGTCGAACTTCATTTGATGACCTTCATCTCAATATTTGACCTTTGCAAATATCCTGACGTCTTGAAAATATTTTATAGATTCTTCTCCTGAAGACGGCAATTCCCACAATGTGACAACATCCATAATTAAATAACACTAATTCACAACTAACACAAGAAACAAAATATAAACAATGGAATAACTAAGGTTAGATGAGATAAGGGAGGTTATGTGAAATGAGATTAGATAAGAAGGGAGGGTTTAACGCTACCCGCTATTATTTAAGTACCAGTTCTAATAATTGTTCTTTCAATTTTCGTACCTGGACTAAATTCCCCAAAAAAAAGTTATAAAGAAAAGAAAAATGTTTAGGGCCTAACTTGCTAAGTATATATTATATGGTAAAATTTATAATAATATTGTTGAAAGGTAATAAAATTTCCAATAAAACAAACAAAAAATCATCGGAATCAAACCAGTATTAGCGATGATACAGCTTATTGTATTTTCTACACGTTTTAATTTATTACTTCCCTACCTATACTTGGTAAAGAAAGTATTGCGATTGGGTCAAATTTTCGATATTGATGAAACTTATCCATAATGTTCTAATAAGTCTGGCTTGTTTTTTTTTTTTTTTAAGGTAATGAAATTCCCTAAAAAACTATAAAAAATCGTTCATTTCGGACTAATATTAACGAAGTTACAGCTATTCAATTTGAATTGTAAGATTACGAGTTCATATCCTGGTGTCAGAAAGGGGTGAATGAGAGAAAAAAAAGATAACTAAGTGAAAATAGGAAAATCTGTTGCCAGCATAACACAAGCTTCACTATTTCCTCTACTTTTAACAAAAATTATTGTTTGACAAAATTAGCCTATGGCAAAAGTTTTTGATCAGCAATATTAGAGGGTTTTGAAATTTTTACACTGATCTAACTTAATCCATTTACATTGCTTTAGTTTACCAAATAAATCATACTCAAATCTTTTCTTTGATCAATTTTCAGAAAAATAAATCTAATTCAATTGTTTTTTGTTTCTTCATGGATATAAAAACTTTTCTGAAATAGGTAGGAAAGTCGTGTGAGTGGGCACACCATTTTTTTTTTAAATAGTTTTTATATTGTTATTTACTTTATTTTATTTATTTGTTTTTTATTTTTGGATGAGAAAATGCCACAAGTCTATTTCAAAACAGTACACAATTACAAACGATTTTTTCAGTTGATAATTTATTTTGGCTCTTTTAAACAATTGTTGCATTTAATAATTCCACAAAATTTATTGATATACCCCATTTATTCATAAATCTGTTTTGATGCATCAAAGTTTGTAGATTATTCAATAAATATTCAACTAAACAACCAACTAAGAAAACTTCATTTTTTATTTGATACTGTTTTGAGATAAGCTACATTCACAAGTAAGCATTGTAAAAGTAAATTATAAATTGATAAAATTCAAAGTATTGAAAAATTACCAATAATATGTATAACCATTTTGGTTGCCGAAAAAAATGTATAAGATTACAAATATTAAAAAAAAATTTTTATTAATTTTATCATAGAGCAACCGATTAATTTTTTTATGGAATGTTGTTAATTTACAAGCACACTTCTTGGAAATGTTTAATTTGAAAAATCTATGAAACTTATATGATAAAAACTTATCTATGAAATAAGTTTAATATAATAATTACATTAATTGATACATATAAATACATAAGCTTCAAGCTACTGTATTTAGATATGTTTTCAATTTTGTCAGGTCCCTAAAACATTATACGTATATTCACATCTTTTTATTACAAATAAATTTTTTAAAACAGTTTTTAAATACATATATATATTTTACATTTCAGTCATATTGGTTTCTTTTTTTTATTTTTGTACATATTTACAATTCTTGCAAACAATTATGGCATTTAAAAATTACTTTTAACAAACACGTGGGCAGTTTGAATCGATGTTGATTGTGTCAAGGAGTGATGTTAGCGTAGCCTGTCGAATAAGCGATGCTCCCATAAATATCAGAATTTGGTGACTGATTACCCTGAAAAAATTAACAGAATAATTGAAAGATCTTGTAAAACTTGCAATACTCAGAAGAAAAAACTGAAGATACAGATAACATAGGCTTTAATTTTTTGTATTAAAATTGAAACAAAAGTGTTGACAATTAAATAAAAATTGTTACAGTTACTAGTATTATTATAAAAGTTTTTTGTGATTAAACATTAACACTCGAAATATTGATGACTTCACTGTGACTAATAGTTTTAATATTTCAAATTCAAAAAGAAAAAGAAAAAATATATCATTTTTTTTTTTTAGCTAAAACAAATTATCTGGTATATATATATTATGAAATATTTTCTTTCCCATATAATAATCTTTATTTCTTGTCTTATGTTTCGGGTATTTCACTCATCCTCAGATACAAATCAAAACTGTTAAAACAACATAACATTTTTTTTAGCTTATGCAAAAATAAATTATCTGGATTCGTTATTAAATTATATACAATTTGTTCAATATCTTACTTGAACAAAAGCATTCAGTTCCTCTTGGGTATCGAATATCATGACTGTGAACGGTGAACCAGGGACCAACTCTCCAGCCCATTTCACTTCTACTCGGTAGTCACCAGGCTCTGTAGGATCATACTTGCACATGATCATACGATCCTTTTGGCTTCCTCTTTGCATTTCAACTCTGAAGGCTCCTAAATCATATTTAAAGAAAAAAATTAGAAAATTAAAGTATATACCAAACCATTATTTGTTTATTAAGAGACATTGATATACTGAGAAGTAGAAATTTCAAATAAAGAAGATTAATCTGTTCACATTATAATGATTGATTGGGTGTCAAAGATGACTGAAACCAATGACTGAAAGTGCAATTCATAAACGAGAGGATTAAAAGGATAGTAGAGTATGTCAGTTTGCTTTAATGATGCATGTATATTAAACATATATATTATTGAAGAACATTTCTTTTTTCTGACTGCTTTAAAAATCCTATTGTAGCTCTTTGGCCAGTCTTCTCTATATCTGGTATCTTGGACTATTGCTTTCCAGATTTGTGCAAGCAGCTTTGCAGTATTTTGTTCTTTCATTCTATCTATCTGATTTTTGACCTACCATGTGGTCTCTTTCCAAAAGAATTGTTATGTACTTTATTGATTACAAAACCCAAAGAGTGCCTTTGTCAAGGATTATCAGAATATGCAAATCAATAAAACATGCAAAACTGGCACTCTAATTTTATTGTAATCCCCTCAAAAACAAACAGGAGACAAACATCAAATCAGATTTACATAAAAGAATTTCCTTTTTTCAGTCATAAAAATATGATTAAATTAAGTTTCAACTCAATATTTTCCTTATTGAGGGTGATTTAACATCATTACCATAATAAAAATTTAAAAGTAGAAATGATCTAGATATAAAATAAAACTATTATTTCAAGTTTAAACAACACTTCCCAGTTTGAAATACTATAAAGCAGTGGTATTCCCTATTACTGATCTGTTATGTTATTGAGGGTCTTCAAAAAATTGACTCATTGTAGAATTTGTATAGACTAAAAATAAATTGGAACAGCTAATGAGCTTAAGTAATTGGAAAGGACTACTAAAGCTTAAGGGAATGAGTTATGTCTCAATTATTTTAAATTATTTCTATGTTATCTATTACCTTTCTCATTTAGTATTGTAAGAGTTGTAACTAGACTTTTCCGAATTTCAAGAAAATCGAAACTCAAAAATTTATAAAGCTCTGTTTGTTTTTATAATCAAAGTATAAAACAGCATTATACAAAATCCAAAGGATAACTTTGTCAAGAGTTATCAGAATATACAAGTCAATAAAACACGGATATCATAATGTTGATCTTTGTCCAACAATGATTTCAACAGCATAATTAGCCATCATTAATCCTCAGGTTTAAACAATGAGATTAAAAGTACAAGATGGTATCCACGATTCATGAAAATGAATAATTTAAGTGAAAAATGTTGCAAAAAAATATGCATATTGTAATGTATGTTTTATTCACCTAAATTGCTTTCTAGCTATTCAGAATTAACAAAAGGCGATCAGTCATAAACATGTGCTCATTACAAATATGAGTTAATAATACAAAAAAGTCAATAATAATACAAGTTTAGAAGATAACAAGGAGTAGGTATAAAACTATATTTTTTATTTACATAATTATGGCAATGTATCTAAAGATAAATTATTTACCTTTAGGCCCCCTGACCCTCACAGCGAGTTGACCAGCTCCAGCTCCTCTGGTGTCACATATAAATCTGCTCTGGAAGGTTGCCAAAACACCATGCTGAATACCCGGACCAAACACTCGAACCTTACTTGCATCAGCAGCACCACATATCCTCAAGACGAATGGGGACCCGGGTACGTCGACGCCTGTAAAGTCATGAGCATAAGATTTCACTAACAATTGGATATAGTAATAACTATAATAGATACTACATTAATCTATATATATATTATTTCTCAGCAATTCTTTTTTTGTCCTTATGCCATATACTCCTTAATACTGCATCAAATTAAATTATTAACACTCTCCGTACGGATGGTTCTTTTCGAAGGATGCTCCAATCTTTTCTCATGGATGGGTGGTCCTTTGATAAGGAGGCTCTGTGTTCTCTATATCTATTTCTATTCCAGAGATTTGTATGTGATGGGGATAGACTTTTCCACCTTCAGTCAATGATAGAGTTTTCTAAGCTATTTAACTCATAATAATAATTGAAACTGTCCAAAAAAAAAAATCTGGTGCACGCAACACACAACTTTCACTTACCGATCTATTTTGAATAGAAATTATTTTCTGGCAATGCTGGGCTATTATAAAAACTTTTGAAGTGCATTTTAAACGGAGCTAAAGCTTAAAGCTTACAGATAACAAGTCATTAAGACTATTATAATTACAAAATGTCTATTTAATATATCGACGACAGGCAATAAAAATCTAGTCACTCCTTCTGCTTTTATAAACCACACAACTTTCTTTGCTTTTATAAACCACAGAATGACTAACTTCAATTTCAACATTTTTGAGTGATGTCATTTTAATGATATTTTTAGTTGACAAAGTTATCTACGCAGACAATGAGTAAATTGATTCCAGAGGTGGTGATTGCAGTGTTGAAATATAGAACTGAGAATAAAGTTATAAATTTAGGTACTCATTTCTTATGAAAGATGTTCTTAGGAAAGACACTTTATTAAATATCTGTAGAAAAAAGGTTTTTTTAGTCTCAACAATTAAAAAAATATATTTTAAATTTATCCAAATTTTCGCCTCTTCAGGGAAAAAAACTAGAGACCATATCTTTCCTCCTAATTGTGCGATTTTAACGATTGTTTTTTGTTTTTTTAGGAAATTCCATAAACTTTTAAAAAACCAATACAACATCCCCAAAAAAGGGTATAATTTTTGGGTTATTCGGAATTTAATTTTAACATCCCTCGTGACTTTTTTTCCAGCTTCTTTTCGTTGAAGTATGTTATAAGGATAAATTCAAAGGCTATCAAGAAAATTAGTTTAGCGAAGTTTCATTGAAATCGGTACATTCGTTTAGGCGCTGCAGTCTATAGCAATGCAGGTTTTTCTGCATTTTTATTTTTTTTCTCCTTTATTAACTTATCAAATTCTTTCAAAAGTTATATGTAGCATTTTTTCATAACTCTCAATAATGCAAAATGTTTAACTTTTTAAAATAAACCATATTAAAGGTATTTTAGAGGAAGATATATATGAACATTGGGCATTTAAGCTCTGTAAAGTGACATTAACAGGGATAAGACCTAAATGATATTAAAGACCACTTAATTATACAATGATAAACCGAGTTTGATCGAAATTGTTAGAGCCGTTTTTGAGAAAATTGTAAAAACGTGTTTCAGCGTTCATATAAAGTGGCACTTTATAGTAGGCATTTAATAGTACATCTTATCCATATCAATTATTGATATGGATATTGATATTTTTAAACAAAAACAAATGTAGATAAAAATAATCAAAATCTGTATGCCAAGGCAATATTAATTAGTGAAAAATGTCATCTATTTTATAAAAACTACATACCTCCATACTTGACAGTCAGCGTATGCCTGCCAGGTTCTTGAGGTTTAACATTCAGTGTAAATGTACCATCCCCGTGGTCATAAAGTTCACAGTATGCAACTTTATGAGGTCCAACACAGTGAGCAGACAGTTCTCCTACAAAATTCTCAGGTTATACATAAATAACTACAGCAAATATATGCATAAATAAATATTTTGTTAATACATTACCTGGTCCAGCTGCCCTAGTATCGATAAAACTTCTAATATGGTGACCAACTGTGCCCACACCGAGGCCTTCACCAGAACAAATGACTTTCGAGGCATCACACATTGCTGTTACTGTCACTTTCAATGGGCATCCTTTAACTTGCCTATAATAATAATTTTAATGATAATTATTTCTTGAATTAATGTTTCTACAATTTTAACTATCAATAAAATATTTAATTCGATAAATGGAAAGCCACTAGGCAAACGCCTGGCCTGTTAGAGCAAAAATTTAAATTATTCATAAGATAAAATAAATTGTACTTCTTTTTTAAACTAAATTTTTTATTCAATTTTAATTGCACACTCATGACAAATATTTAATATTTTAAATAACGTTTGTACTTCTGAATATGCTTGGGGCCAAGAATGACGAGAAAATCTCAAAATCGCACTTTCTTATAAAATTGCTTTGAATAATTTTAAAGATATTCCAAAGTTATCGAGATCTAGAAATAATTGGAATTGTCAAGAATTATCAATAAAATTGTTTTAACTAGGTTAATCCTTTATTTAAACAGATTGATTCTGGACGCATTTGATAACATGAAAATCATCTATCATACATAATTTAAAAAAAATAATTAGAAGAATAATTTCACTGTGAAGCAATTTTTCACAAGATGAACATACCACTTAAATTAATTTGTCTTTTTTTAATTAAAAAAAAAATGTTTGTTTCTTTAAATGGTCCAAAGGAAGTTCTATTGTGTAAAATAAATCAAATTACTAACAAATAATTATCTAATAAAATAATCTTTACCTGTCAGACCACATAACATTCAACAGGTAAGCTCCAGGTTGTGAAGGTGTGTAAGTTGCCTTGTAAACATTGTCTCCAACATGAATTAGATTCACCTTAATATCATTTTTCATTCCTGTTAACGTTACTTCTGGTATTCCTGTAAAATTAGTTGCATAATCATAAATCAGATAAAAATACACAAAAATGTATACAACTTAATAATAAAATCGAGGACAGGATGATCGAGTGTGTTGGGGAATGGGTCTCAGAGTGCCTGGTTCTGAAAATTGTGGGTTCCATTCTACCTGGGTCGGTTAATTTTCATATCTCGGTGGCCCAGGGAAATTGATCTTGACATTCCCATTGTGGTAAGTACAATGCGGCAACCTCAAGGTAGCCATCAGGGGTTGGAAAAAAAGACCACTATAGGGCCCACTTGCCGGACTAGTTCCTCCCAAGTAACAGTACCAGTACCAGCAATAATAAAATAATATGCATTTTTAATTAGTAATAATAATTTGGCTACTTAAATAGTATTTTTCACTACATAATGATTTCATACTTAACATTAGTTTATCAAGCAATATTCTAGTTATTTATTGTACAAAGGGCTCGCTGCTTGTCAGGATTAGACTTATTGTAGAACAACCCTGCTCTGACTTTCCAGTCAGTCTTAAAATTAATTATTTCTAGGATATATAAGCTCTGGAATAAAATAAACCCAGAATAAGCTCATCAGGAGAAACATGGGTATGGGTAATCCATTTTATAGTTTTTATTCAAGAGTTGCTTAACACAACCAAATTATAATCTAAAATACCATTTAATCCTGAACAAATTATTTTCTTATACTTGTGTTTTACATGGAATATCAGGTATTTCTTAATTGTGAATAATACGCATAATTACTAACAATTATTATTAAATTTAAAAAAATAACACACCTGGTCCTGCTTGAGAGCCATCTATATTGAAATCTGCAACCTGATTGCAGATGGCCGTGGCAAGACCTTTTCCAGTCAATATTAGCCTCACACCTCCATTACCCGCCTCTGCAAGCGCTGAAAGAGGCGAAAATGGTAGAGGAAACCCAGCGTAATGCAGTGATAGAGTGTGGGGCCCAGGAGTTCTAGGAGTCACTGTCACCTGACCTGTCTCAGGACTTTCTTGTTCAATATTAACGGGTACAACACTCCCCTGAGGACCTGTACATTCCCCGGTCAGTTCACCTAGAGAAAATACACGTAAAAACGTAATATGAAAAAAAAAATGTTTCTATAACATTTAAGAAATTCCTTATGTTAAGAATTTAATTTAGCTTATATTGTATTAATTTTTAGAAGAAATAAAACATTTTTTTTTTATATAATTTATAGTTTAAAATAAAAAGTGGTGGTAGATGCAGACAATAATGGAGTTTATTGTTAATTGGCACGGGATGTAATAAATGATATGGTTAGTAACTGGTGTAAATTCTGCATCAAGAAATGATTTAAACTAAAGTACATTAATTTGTGGCATTTATTTTCTGTGTATCATTATCGTAGAGATTTCAGACAATAACCTCTATGCATTGTCTCGAGCTGTACATGCAAAAACTAGTTCTCATCAAAGATGAACTCAAATCTATATACTGCTTAGTAATATATTCTTACTTTATACATTACCTATAGCAAAAATTATAGCTATAAAAAATTCCCTCCATTCTCCACTTTACAAGGAAATCAAAGTAAGGCTTAGGAGCTAAATTAATACAATCGGACTAGTGATTAGGCTGTAAGTGGTTAGGTTGTCGTTATTTAAAATGTAAATATTAAAATTTATCAAATGCTCTGGTGAACTAATAGTGTTCTATTAGTACAGATAAATACTCTTTAGAACATGTATATTTTATAAACATTGCTATTGAAACACTAAATTTAAAATTAATTAATACCACTTAACTCACCTGGACCAGCATGCGCCAAATCCAGCAGTAACCTATATGGCACATTGACAGTCATAATAACCCTGTTGGGAAGAGGATCACCAATAACCTTGACTTTATCAACAGACACAACGTACACTCTAAAAGGTGAACCTGAAAAGGAATACAAAATTAAAGGTAAATGGTAAATCACAGTAAAATAATACAAAACAGCTAGTCTTAGTATATAAAATCTTTATCTCTTTATAATTTAATGCTTAGGGTCGATAGAGTAAAACTTTACAGTAGATCATAAAAATGTATGATATTAACAATCTGCAGGTAATATATAATAATATGCAATAAGAAAAATTAAATAATGGAATAAGAAAAAAACTTTTTTAAATATTTTAAGTGAAATAATAGGAAAATAATTACAATGAAACTAACCTATTTACATTTTAAGACAAAAATCTAATTTTTAACAGTATCACATAATTAGCTCACGACAGTTAACTGTTTATTACCTGATATATGCTTTCCATTTGCGAGGATGGTCACATCATACATGCCGACGGTGGGAGGGGTATAGGTAACTTCATACTGGTCCTGCCGTTTAACGGACAGAGCAGCCTGGGTATGAGCGGGTCCATTGATCGACACTTGAGGCTTAGCCGGAGGCACGAGGCCAACCGTACTCACACTAAAATGAGCCATCATCCCAACTTGTGCTCGACAGAGGCCAGGACCCCAGGCTCTAGCTGAACCACCCTCAATAACTGAGAACGATACCGGAGAATCTGAAAAAAAAAAGTAACATATTGAATAACAAAAATATTTAATCATTAAGAAAAAATATTTTATCTGGAATGGAGCTGTTCTTATAATAGTTCGGTTAACTAAATATCAAACAGCCGTTCAAAAAGTTGACTAATACCTGGTATAGCATGTCCACCATACAGTATGTTGAAGGAATACTTTCCAGGTACCGATGGACACAAATCAATAAGGTCAGTATCAGATGTTATACTTTTAACAGAGAGGGGGAGGTCTTGACCAAGGGGGCTTCTGGCAGTAACATCAAGTTCTGCAAAACCAGCATCCTTCCGCAGCACTGGAAAGGGACATTTTTTAAAATTTCAGATAATAGATAAAGATAGAAGCTGTTTGGTAATACAAATACAAAAGATATATTACATTTAAATGAAATACTGTCATTTACAACAACAGTATTGGATGTCATATTTTCCACCTTTATTTTAGTTGCATCAAATACTTGGCAAAAGTATGGTGAACCTCTAACGCCTCTGGAGTTATGAAGAACTTCAATTTTGTAAGCACCTAAGAAAATAAACATTAAAAAATAAATACAAAACATTATACAGTAGATTAGCAAAATAAATCAAATATACTGGAATACATTTGTGCATGATAAAAAAAAATAAATAAATGTTTAATTTAATACAAATATATTCTGATACTCCATATCCATTCATAAATAAAATAATTCACAAATTGGGACAAGAAAAATACTAACAAATAGCAAACATTCCACAGAATTGGAAAAATATATGAAATGGAAAGATATACATATATTACAGAAAGAACAAAAACAAAAATTTGAAAATAGAAGTATTAAGAAGAAATAGCAATTACAAACAACAAAGATAAATAAAAAATACATAAAATTGATCAAATAATCTGGAAAACGAATAGAGTTCTAACTTATTTATTATGATTCACTTAAAACTTCTTTTGAAAATTATAATAAATGTATTCATTAACGAGTCATTGTGTGAACCACAGGTAATACGAGCTGGCATGAACATGTTAATAAAGTCTTAAATAAGTAAAATAATATAAATATATTTTACAATAATTTATTTTAAGATTTAAAGTACAGATAAAATACCATTGTTATTATAATTCAAAAAGTTAATTTTTTTTCTAACATTAAATAATATTGATGGACTTATGATTATTTCGACATAGCTTGTTGGGCTAAAATATCGAGGATAAAAATGTACGAGTCCAAGAGCCAATTTGTTTCATTTTCATTACACTTTGACATGATTCTTTTCCTCAGGTATTTTTTAAGAATATTGCTGTATTGAATTAAAAAACAGTACAATACTTGGGTCTCTATCTGGATCAATGATTGACATAACACACATAAAACAAAAAGGGAAAGAACTTAATCAGCTATATGAACTTCTTTTTAGGCTACTTAACAGAAGTTCTAAGTTACCGGTGACTAATAAATTAACTATTAACAAAGTTCTCTTTAAAACTACTTTGGACATATGGTATCGAGTTACGGGGAACATCACATATATCAAATATAAAAACAATTTAGTCTTTCAAGTAAAAAATTGTAGACAATTTTTACAACTCCAAAAAATTATATTCACCCTCCTCCTTTTATGTTTCTAATCATATGTTATACACTGACCTTGACATTCCTTTTATCACAGCAACTACCATAGACCATTTTAATAATTTTCATAATAGACTAATTCTAAATTCAAATCCACTAACTTAAGCTTTATCTACTGCCACAAATCCATATGATCTGCTCAAAAGACGGTTGTGTGTTTTTTTTTAGTTTAATTTTTTAATTTACTTTTTTTTTATACTACTTTAGAAATTCATTTTCTTTCTAGCATTTTTTTTTTCTACCCTAATCTACCCTCCCAAAAATATGCACCATAATGAAAAAAATAAAATAATATTTATCAATAGATATGAACAATTATTCTAATTAATTATTCATAAAATATATATAACAAGAAAAATTTGATAAAACCAGAAATAACAGAATTATAAATCAATTTTAACTAATATCATGACAGAATGGCACGATAAAATTTACCTATAATAGTGGGAATAAACTCAGCTAGGAGATTTCCATCTTTTTGCTGATAACACCTGACAGGTACTGCCATAGACCCTGGGCCACTGATGATCACGTCGAATGTGTCAGCTGGCTGACCAGTGGTTTCTATCACGAATGAAGTAGCTTTGTTAACGGAAGCTTGATACAGTCCAAGACCTGATGCGCATAGTCCTCCCCTCTCATGGACATTTACCTCCATCGGGCAACCTTCGAAATAAAACATTGTATTTAATAATTAAAAGATGACCCAGTTAATTAAATTCATTATTATAAGAGCCGTCTTAGATCAAGTATTTCTTAATTTAGTTAAAGATAAAATGATTACCTGGAACATATACTCCATTGTATTTGACATGAAGCTTATGGGGAACACTCATTTCTGGTTGGTACACCACCTGATAGATATTTGAGCCATTAAGTTCCCTTAGGGTGTGTTTCACATCAGTGCCTGCAGCTTTTATAGAAACAGCAAGAGCTCCAGAACCACCACCGTGGGTATCAACTAAAAAAAAAATACATTTATAAAAGAATAAATTTCTTCACACTTAAAAAATAGATTTTTTCATTCACTTATGAATTCAAAAAAACTAAATACAATGTAAGTAATTAGTTTTGCAAGAATTCCACCAGGATAGTGTATGAGTTTTTTAGGAAAAAGGAGTCCAGTAAGGTATAAAAAAAAAATAATAAATAAAAAAAAAATATAAGATTGGCTAGAGTTAATAACCACAATGAAAGAGATTGAGTGTTAAAATTGTCTAAAAGCAAAAGAAAGGAAATAGTTTTTTTTTTTTTTTTCGGCATTAAGATTTTAGTTTAAATCCTATTTTGCCAGAAAGTAATAGATTGGTTGAACTCAACAAGTTATATACATTTTTAAGATAAATAGAGAGAAACATAAATATTAATTTAATAATATTAAAAATCAATATAAAGTAATAACCAGAGTCCAGATTTTTATATATGATTTTATAAGTGTAAAATTTGCATTAAAAAAAACTTAAAATATATAATATAAATCATAAAATATACAGCAAAAAAATGTCTAAATAAGCATAAAAGAGCTAAAATATTATATCATTAAATTATATTAAAATATTCAATAAACCAATATGCCTACAGAATGTTCTTAACTAAAGTTTGGTAGAAAATAATTTATTTACTTTTAGCATTTAAAATAATAAAATTATCACTTGTAAAGAAGGTAAGGAAGGACCTGATATTGTAGTAGTGTTAAGAAGTTTAAAACGGAAAAGAAGTGTTATTTTAATGTTTAAAAATAAATTAATTGACAATTTTAATTCAGAATTTCATCTTTAATAACATCACTTTTTATTATATATATATATATTTTAAAATTTAATTTGACTGAGTTTTTGATTTGAGAGAAATTGATTTAATTTCTTCTGAGTAGACTGATTTGTAAAAATATTTGATCATCAGTTTAAAAACTGCATTCAAACAAAATATGTATAAAAATCTGGGCTCTGGTAATAACATAGTATAAAAATTAAGGAAATCTAGAACAAATAAAATAAAAGCTAAACAACTTCAGCTATATGACTAAGTTTAATGAAATATTCTTGCAAAAATATTTTGATGTGTTTGAAGAGAAATATAAAATTATTATAAAATGTACATACTATAAGAATACTTTAATTAAGGACATCTGAAAGAAAAATCATAATATGGAAAAAAAAGGTTTGATGAAACTTAATTTCAAGTGATACTAACAATTATTAGACATAGAGGTTAGTTAATAAAATAAAAAATAAATAAATATAGAAACTGAGAATTTTGTTTTAAAAACAAACACAATTAGTAGTATTCTCTGTTGTAATAAACATCAGCTATTTCTATAGTACAAAAATTATCTATCCTTGCAGGGATACTGCATTTTTCTCTTATAAAACTAGATTAAATAATAGTTATAATGGAAAATTAACCTTTAAATGTAGCAGAAGAACCACAAATTGCTTCTGATACATCATAAATTCTAACAGCAGCTGGGTTGAATACTTGAGCAGTGAAAGGCTGTCTTGTGATAGGGTGGGATCTAACACATAAAACAAATATATATACACATAATCCATAACTTATAATTAATGCTTATATAATTTCAATACAAATCTATTTTGCTTACCGTTGTGTTATTATAACTGAATGAGGACCAACCATTTCAGGACGATATTGGCCACGATACAGCCCAGATTCTAACCTATCCACCTGGCATGGAATCTTCTTATTGTCTGGTCCTATAATGTCAATAATAATATGGTTAAATTATATTGATAAATTAAAGCTTTGAATGCATGCTATATATTTTAAATTGATGATTTGTCCTTGGATTAAATCCTAAAATTGTAAGAGAAAAGTAAATCATTGAAATAATCAAAATATAAAAAATACCATTAATTCTCAGAGTGGAAACGCTGTGAATAACCATAATCTAAAACTTGGTCAGAAAATAAAATAATGCCGTTTATTGGCATGTCATATATTTTATGATCACATCCCCTACCTGATGATGATGATGATGAATTGACTTTTGTAATAGATTATTTTTTTTGATAAATATTTTGTCATTCATACTCCAAATTATTAGCTTTTAAATTTTTTAAATTTGTAAAATATTTTGTTTTTAATTAAGCTATTTTTAAAAATTAAGATTGGTTATAGGTAAATATTAACAAATCTAAAAGTTCAATGTAGATACTATCAACAATCATTGTTTATTTCACTGAAATCATCACATAACAGTTTTCATTACAAAACATGTATTTGAATTTGATATTTATTTTTGAAAATTAATAATATTACTCTAATATTTTTTTTCTTAGAAATTTCTTCCATATAAAGCTTTCCTCAACCAAACTCCTGCCTCAGCAGCTCCCTCCATCTATGCTGTTCCATCGCATCCTCCTCCGATAGTCCCTACAAGCCATACTCTATACCACTCTATCCTTCTGTCTTACGGGAGTTTCCTCTCCTTCTTCTACCCTCTGTCCCCCAATCTATAATTATTTTTGTTATTCTAACACCACCCATTCGTCTCACATGGCCATACCATCTGAATCTCCTTTCTTCCATTACCACTAGGATATTTGGTTTTACTACCAATCTCTCTCTTATAGTGCTGTTTCTTTCCCTTTTAATCCTAGATATCCTAGCTGCTCTCCTTCAAAAATTCATTTCAACTGAAAGGAAATTTTTCTCTAGGGTCATAATGAAATGCCATGTCTCCAAACCATATAGCATTAGGCTGACCGGCCATCGAAAGTGCAGCTGAGCTGAGAACCGATTGCATAGCAGAGCTTAGCTCAGTCAGCAGCTTGCCTTGCTTGGTACCCTTCTCGTGTTCTGTATAATATTTCAAAAAGGTATATATAGCATATATAACATTTTTAAAAAATAGAAAAAGTTGATCATGTGGGAGTTGAAAAGAAAAATCAAATATTTTTGTATAAAATCGAATATTTTCCCTTAGACATTCGATTAGGAATTCTTCCACATCCATTGAATATTTTACACTGAACCAAAATAAAATAATTTGAGAGGTTTTGCAGTGAAAACAAGTGGATAACATTTTTTTAAAATATACATAGCACATAAATCATTTTAAAAATAGCAAAGTTGATCATATCGGAGCTGAAAAGAAAAATCAAATTTTTGTGTATATAATTGAATATTTTCCCTTACACTTTAAGAAGATTTAAGAATTCGTCCACATCCATTGTATTTAATATATATATATATATCATATATAACATTTTAAAAAATTAGCAAAGTTGATCATGTCGGTGCTGAAAAGAAAAATTGAATATTTCCTTTTTCTCTTTCAAACTTTTCCACATCTATTGCATATTTTACACTGAACTAAAATAAAATAATTTGAGAAGTTGTGCAGTGAAAACAAGCATAAAAAAAAGGATGACACTGAGGAACAAAGCCCCACGGTTGTGGGACAGTGGTGAGTAGGTGTGGTGGGGGAAGCTAAGCGTAGTGGAGTCAGCTTCCAAAACCGAACCACGGGTCACTCCAAGCTGAGCTGAGCTGACCCTTGTTACGCCGCTCAACTGAGCTCAGCTCAGCTCCCCTCATGTCATTGAAAATCTTTGGTTCGGTTTTGGAAGCTGACTCAGCTACGCTCAGCTCAGCTCCTATTTCAGCCTTAAACTTTCTACCAAAGCTTTGTATATTAGCTTTTTAGTTTTTATTAAAATATTACAGCTCCAAAGTATGGAGTTAAGCATTGTTTAGCAAAATTGTTCTACTTTACTTAGGTTGTACAATATTGGGTTAGTGCTCTCTCCTTTCTCTGTGCACATATATTTAGTTTTTTAATTTATTTTGAAGCCCCCTTTTTCATAATGATCTTGGTCATCAGTAAATAATAAATGTCAGCAAATAAATAATAATTTATAAATGATTTATTATTTAAATATCACAAACCTGTAACAGTAGCATCAATTGTGGTGGGTTCAGTTGAATGTGGATTCACTTCAAAATATGCAGTAGTTCCAAGTACCACAGAGCTTAGTCCTTCACCTCTAGCAGTGGCTGTTGTCTTGTTAGCGGATCCATCGATGACTTCACACCTCAGAGGGCTTCCTACATAAATCGTGGAAGTCATTTACTAATGATATAATTAATTTTAAATCATTAAGGATGTAGTATTGATAACTTACCAGGAACATCCTGATCATTGAATGTAATATTGACAAAGTGGGGTTGAAGGAGATGAGGAATGAAGGTGACGTCATAGAGTCCTCGAGACATGGCATTTACTTCTGCCTTCACAGTCGTGCCTTGGGTTGATATGACTAATTCAAGGGTCCCTTCGCCTGCTTCTGTTGCATCAACAGAAAATGTTACAGCCTTCCCGACCTAAATAACAAATTTTATATTATTAGAAATTTTATTTAGTAAATTTTAAATATTAGGAATAAATATCATAATACTAGTAATTTCAATTGATCAAGGAAATACCTTAGCTGGCCCGAGACCAGTGACTTTGATGTTGTTCACATTATAGACATTACAGTAAAAAGGGCTGCCTTTCACAGGATGGCCATCAATATCAACAGAAACAATGTGTCTTCCTGAAAATGTAATTATTTTAACTTAATATTTAATCAATTAAATAAACCAATTTGGTTTTGGTTTCAAAACATATAACATGTATTCATATAAGCTATTAATGTATGAGATTAACAGGAATTATGTGGTCGACACCTAAATGGTCCTATATCAATTTTATCAAATTCTGTTCACTGCTTCCATTTAGACTTGAGCAAATATTTCCTTTGATAAACCTATATGTTGAAAACAACTTATCTAATATCTAATTTTGTCTAGAGTTGGAGAGAAGTTAGGGACAATCAGAATAAAACGGTCAAGTACCAATTTTATCAAATTCCATCCACTACTTCTACTTACGTATGAGCAAGACAATTTTCTTAGTAGGTATGATTAGTTAGTCTAATTTGGCTGAAAGTAGGGAAAGTTAGATACCTCAGTAATCACTGAGCCACCCTGCAATAAATATATATAATCATATATATATATATATATATATATATATATATATATATATAATATATAACACAGAAGCAGTCAGCATTCCAAACCAACCCCTATCTTCCTTCCTTACACTGTCGTGGCCCAGGGTTCTAGCATTTCCCCTTTCCTTTTTAATTCCTACATAAATGATCTTTCCAAATCCATCTACCACTATTCACATCATTTATACGCTGATGACTCCCAAATCTATTTTTCCTTTCATCCTTCTGAGCTACTAGTCGCGTTCGCCAATATTCAGGCAGACCTAGATAGGATTAGTGCCTGGGCAAGTCTGAATAATTTAAAGCTAAACGCGATGAAAACTCAGGCCATTGTTATTGGTTCCAGTCCTATTCTTAAATCCATCTCCTTCCTTCCTCCTTTAGTCATCAACGACCATCCTGTCACATTCAGCTTCTCTGTTAAAAACTTAGGAATCACCATAGACGAAAATCTCTCCTGGAAACCCCATATCGCCCTCATCTCCCGTAAGTCAATAGGTACCCTTAAGCTATTTCATCGCTCCCGCCACCTACTCCCACAATCCATCCGCAAGCTCCTTATATCCTCTCTTATTTTCCCCCACTTTGACTACGGCTGTGTGGTGTACGGAGGCATCCCGATGGTACTCGAGGATAGATTGAAGCGACTCATGAATAACTGCTTAAGATTTGTCTTCGGTACATCGAGGCGGTCTCATGTGTCTCACCTTTACGATGAGTTAAAGTGGCTCTTCCCTTCTTTACACAGACAATATTTCCTTGGATCTTTCCTATTCTAAACGATCAACACCCGACACCCTTCCTACATCTACAGTCCCCCCAGAAAACAAGATCCCGTGTTTCCGACCTTTATATCCCATCCCATAGAACTAAGACATTTGAATATTCCTTCATTGCCCGATCCACTGCCTTCTGGAATTCCTTGCCATCTGATATCCGCCATGCCTCTTCCTTGTCCTCATTTAAATATCATCTCTACCAATTCCTTCTTATATCCCAAAATGACGTTATACAATGAAAGAAATATTGCGAAACAGATTTTGACTGAGGTGAATGGTTATTAAAATTGATCAAGTTTTAATTTTAAAAATCAGCCCATGCTTACATTATTTTGTTTTGTTTTTCCATTTAAATAATGTTTTGTTTTTTTTCAAAATGGTGTTATTATTACTTCTTTTAATATACTTTTACTGAGATAGTGTATATTTTCTTTAATATTGATTAATGTAATTTATGGCTAGATGTGGTTTTTATTTTTTTGTTCATAACTGTTATTCATAAGGGACCTCGTCCCAGAATAAAGATTACTTTCTATCTATCTATAACACACAAAACATGTACATGAGAATTTTAGAAATTCTAATCTTTCTGAATGCATTAGTACTTTTTTGAGTAATAAGTACTAGCCAAAGCATTTGATATAACTGTTAGAAGTGGAGGAAGTGTTATTACTAAAAAATAATGGCAAGAGTTAATATATTTCATACTTATCACAACCATTCTCACTACTCACCAACTTCTATAGGTGTATAGATTGCAGTAGAAATTCCTCTAGCAGAATCTCTGTCTAGCCTGACTGGTAATCTGTGGCCTCCAGGAGAGGTAACTCGCACCTCACACCCCTCAGCGGATGCTACCTGGAGTGTTGTAGGAAGACCAGCACAACACATTTTCACACCTGGTCCACTAACTACAACCTCACCTCGTTCATATACTTCACAAGTAAATGGAGATCCTAAAAATAGATTAAAATGATCACATATTATTGTAAAATATAATTAATATTTTATTTGATGTTTGGTGAAGAGGTCTTTTTTTAAAAACTTCCTTCTATGAGATGTCTCATTATTAAAAGAAACCATAAATTGAATAATACTAAATCATAGAAAAACAAATTATTTGGCATTCACAACAATAAAACAAATAATTATTAAATTAACTTCATTTCTAAATTTAAGAAGCTCCTGGAACCAAAACCTCACACTGTAATAAAGGAACAGAAAATGGCTCTTCAGGAGATACTAGAGACTGAAAGATTGTTGTAATCACAAGACGGTTTACATGAGGTGGTGCAGATCGCAAAGGTGGTACTTTTCAATATTCTCCTGTGAGAAGAATTGATAATATATGTATTGGAACAATAAAAAAATCTTCTGATGAGTCGAAAAGATGGAAGAAAATAATTCAGGTGGAGACGATTGAGGAGTGAAGCCAGTAGTGGTAAACTACCTCAAAAAGTTAATAGCTACTTTCCTGCTAAGGTAATAGAGACTAAGACAAAGTGGATCATCCCGAACTATTGGATTCACAATTCCTTACTAGGCATATGGGATTTTGGGCCAGGATCCACAGTCTTGGATACAGATCCAACATGCCCAGCATGTAATGTTTCGGAACTGTAGAGTACATGCATCCAAATCTTAAGGATTGATGAAAACTGCAGAGATCTACATCCCCAATGAAGACGAGTTTCCTTAGTAAGACAAAGTTCCTGCAATTTAAATATTTTATTTATAGCAGGAAAGCAGCAGTGAGGATGTTCCACTTTTGCCTGGAAGCCCAAGGAAGCACATAAGTTTTGATTCTAAGAAAGATACAGCAGAAATATGAAGTTGAATATTAGGAACTAGGATTTAATCTTATGATCTTTACATCACCAGTGTTGCGATAATTACAATAATAATAAAATTACATGGTGTTCTTACCTGGAATGGGTTCTCCATTAAATCTCACGCTTAAGCTATGGGGTGCTGCTTCTTTTGGCTTGAAATTTACTCTAAACTTGGCATTTCCTTCACTTTGAACATAATTTGGCACATTGCAACCATTTACTGCTACTATTATTTCTAAATTTCCAGCTCCAGCTTCACTTGCATTAACTGAAAAAAAAATTGATTGAACAGCTTGTTATATTTATAAACAATAGTCTACTTAATGTTACGAAACAAAAAAAGTCTTAATTAATAGGTGAAAATAAAATAAAAAACTCACTACTAAAATATACAGGTTTTCCAACTGGTCCTGAATTGATGTCAGTCACTTTTACTTTGGAAGCATCGTAAGCCTTCAACAAGAACGGACTTCCTTCAACATGGGTGCCACCTAGTTTGGTTTCAACGCTGTGATCACCTGAAATATATCCAAAACATCATCATTCCTTATTGTGTTCTACTGATGATTTAAAAAAGTAATTATTTTTTTATCATAAAGTTTAATACTGACCTACATGTTTTGGTGTGAATGAGGCAATATAATGTTTTGCTTGTTGTGTTATGGTAACAGGAAGAACAGCTCTGGTAGGTGAAGTAACCTGAACAAAAGACTAGGTTTAAAGATGTCTAATTTTGCAAGATTAAATTGTTAAAACTAAAAATTGTCAGGGAAATGAAATAAAATGATTTATTATGGACAGATTAGATTAGAGGCCATGATGGTGAAGCATGTTGAAGCATTTGCCCACTTTTTCTCATTCTCAATCCAGCGACACTGGATGTGGATGAAAATAATGTGTAACAAAAACTTATATGACTAATACAGATACTTACTGTTACTTGAGGAGGTCCTAAAGTACCACAATCAACTTTAAAACTTGCTGATTTCCCTACACTTATCTTGTCTTCCGCTGGAGCTATCACTCGTCCAACATCACTGATGCTACAAGTAAATGGGCTCCCTACAAAATATTTTATTTTATTAATTTTACCAATGAAACCAAATAATATTTCTAACCACTAAAACACAAATAACCAACCAGGAACATTGTTTCCATTGAATTTAAGATCAACAGTGTGAGGAGTCGCCTGACGAGGTGTAAAAGAGATGGCGTAGGTATGCGGTCCTTGAGTTTGTGCTGTTGTCCCCACCCTTCCGCCGTTCACTGTTACCTCCAGGTTGCCCGGTCCGGCTTGACTAGTTTCAACTGATTTGAATAAATATAAAACATTAATAATAAGAAGATAACATTTTGAAAATATTGATATAATTAAGTATATATTTAAATACCTAAAAAAGTGACTGGTTGCCCAATAGTCCCTTGTGAAACTGGTTTCACTTTAATAGCATTTACATCATAAACTTTACATGAAAATGGAGAGCCTGCGACTTGAACATGCCTAGGATATTTTTAAAAAAATTATAAAAATAGAATACAATACATATCATCAAAACATATTAATTAAACTACAGATTTTAAGCAGTACTATCAATAACAAAAATAATAAATTAACCAAAATAAATAAATAAATAAATGGTTAGGAGCAAGATTTAATTTAAAGTAAACAGAAAAATTGTAAGGAATATTTTCCGAAGTAAACAATGCAACATTCATTAGTTTAACAAGTGTTGTAAATAAATTGAATAATGTAGGCTAAATTAAATAGATTTTAATTTTTTTTATTTTTTTTTTTATATTCAGCTCTTAGCACTCCTGTCATTCATTAATGAACCTTTCATGAAATATGGGATGTTCTGATTTCTTGCCAGCAAAGTCGACATTGGGGTGACACAATCCTGTTGAAATGTTGAAAACAGGCTGTGCTGAAAACTGTCACAAAGTAGTGATCAGTACTTATCTGAAAAACAATGCTCATAACTTTAGAGATGTAGTGAGAGATTGAATTGACCCTTCTGTGATCGGATGTTCCTGACTATTATTGCCAGTCTAAAAGATCACGGTAATACAATTCGATAATAGTCGACGATTATAGAATTTGTAACGAAGAAATTGATCAGAGCATTGCCTGAAATAAACAATGTAAGGCATCCTTGTTAGAGAAGTTCTCATATTGGCCTTTTCATCTGTACACCTTGTTATGTAAATTAAATAAGACATCAAAAGATAATTTTTATGCTGATTAGCATTCCTTAATGAAAATTGACTGGTATTAGTTTGTTTTTTTAATCAATTATTCTTATAATTCAAGAGAAATTGTTGACCATAGATGTGATTCAAGGGAGGTTGTGATGACAGGGTATGTTGAAACATAAACTTTAACATTCTCAAGTCTAGCGATGCTGGTTCGAATCTGGTCTGGATGGATTGAAATGTATTTCATGGCAGCCCCACAGAATGAATCTCAACCTTCCCACAAAGGTTAGAATATATTTGGTTAAACCTATAGAATAACACCCTTTTCCCTCTCCCATGTGCCAAAAATGAGAAAGTAGAGGATAATCAGAAAAAAAATGTAATTCAAGGAGAATTCGATTGAGGATCGTGGCCAAAGAACAGTATAGTCCTTGCCAATATTTTGGTCTATGTCTTAGGCCTTCATCATGGGGATGAGCTGATCTGAAATTCTAGAATTGTTACCCTCATGAAGACCAACAAATTAGGCTGAAATGTCAGCACACATTAACAATAAGTTTAGACTTATTTGTGTGTTTTCTTCTTTCACTGCGCTTTCACAATTTCACCTATCCTTAAATTATTTTTGATACTTTAAAAATAGTAATCCAATAAAAATAATAAGACATGAATATACAAAAGCATAATGACAAAAATAAATAAAAGGAAATAAACAATAATAAAAAGTACCTGTAGGTAACAGTGATTTTATGCTCTCCAACAACCTTGGGGACAAATTCGACACGCGCTGTCTGGTTTCCTGTGTCCTTCACCTGTGCCGGCACTGACTGCCCACTTGGTCCTAGATTTGGGGCAATCTTTTGTTTTGTTTCTGTTTTTATGTCTTAGATTCAGGGATAATATTGTTAGTAACCCGCAATACCATGGCTTAGCTTATGTTTTAGGTCAACCCATAAAATTAATAATGCATGTATTAGTCAGAATTATTATGATTAATAAAATTTAAGAGAAAAAAAATAAACAATTCTAAAACATAACAGTTTTAGAATATTTTATGTACAATATATGTTATGGTTAACAATGAAATTGTGAAATAGATTAGTACATAAATGTTAATGGAAAACTAATTAAGAAGTGTATGAGTTTTTACAGTGTTTATGTACAATTGTAAGATTTATTTATAAATAACATTTCAATGCTCAAAAATAAACTAAAATTTATTTTAATTAAAAATAATGATTAAAGTGACTGTTAAAAAAAATAATAACTGACTGAAACTGAATGCATTTTATTCAGAGTTAGTGTAAAAAAAAATTCATAAGACCAATTTATTTGTGCTAAGTTCATGATATCTTAGTTCAATGAAAGGAGACCAAAAAGTTATATTACAAATAAAAAGAAGAAGGAAAAAAAAATGTGGTGTAGAGGTAATCTTAGGTTCAATTTAACTTCATTTATTATATTTCAGCATAACTGTGTATGATGTGATGGTTAGTTTAAAGTAATAATGCATTGAACCCAATCTAATCATGCCAAAAATACTTTCATGAGCAATAAAAATTTGAAGTCAAATGTTAAGAGAAAAAAAAAAGAGAGACAGAGATGAAATTAATGTAATGAATGAAACAAAATAAAAATTAAAAAAATGAATGCAAAGCATTTTGAGAGAACTGAAATGATTTCATTCCATGCGCACTATCATAAATTAATGGATTATTACCCAATCCAACACCAAAGCAAAAGTGCGCATATTGCGGTATTTAGAATATTAATTTTTTTATTTTATTTTTTTTTTTAATTTTTTGTATTTGTTTGTGAAGATAGAAAACAGAAAGAGGATCAATAGTGACGAATTCGTCTGTGGTCCCCACCTGAAATAGGCGAACGAAGGCAATATATAAGAAAAAAGAAAATACAAAATAATATAAAGAAACAAATGCTAAATAGAATGTGCACTGAAGGAAAAAAAAAGATAAAGAATGTGCAAAAGATAGTATAAGATTAAAGAAGTTAAAAATACTAACTAATTACAAATCAAGAAAAAGAAAATAATAAAATAAGAACAAATATCTTAATTTTCCTTCAAAAACATAATTCATAAATATTTCAATTTGAAACTCAATAATATTACATTATATCTGTACCTCCAGTAAATAAATGATTAGCTCTCACATAAAAAAAAATTGAGTTAGTCCATTATTGGGTTGGAAAATCTGAATTTTATTTCAAGTATAAATGGCGACATAAAAAACAAAGTAATGGATAAATACAACAATATGAAATTAAAAGTTATCAAACTTTGATATTACTATCAAGTTTTTTACTATTATTTACCCACTGGGACGACAGATATACATAAGCGACCACTAATTCACTGAGAATACAGATATAGTAATATATTGTTACATTTTAAAATACATATTTTAGATGAATCTATTAAAATAAGAAAAAAATTTTATTTTTTGGATATGCAGAAATACCATTCCCACAGTTACAACAGTAGTGAAAAATCAATTTGGTAATTATATAAATGCTGCACATAATTTTAAGAGAAGGCAAACAGTAATACTGGATATATAAAAATTAATTAATTTAATATTAACAAGACATTTCACTTTCATTCTGATAAAAATTTTGCCTAAAATTGACAACAAAACTTCGACCAAATCTTGAATTGAGATATTGACAGACACATTTATAGCGAATTAGTAAATTTTGCTTGATATATTTATTTTACACAAATACGAAATAATAATAGATAATCATATTTATTAAGCTTTCTTATAAATATACAATAGAACAGAGATAAAAAGAATCAAATTTAATTATAATAAACTATAAAAATGATAGCTAAATTAGCAATGGATATCAAAATAAAATAATTTTTAATTTTATATTATTATTTTTTCTCCTCCCCCACATGTCATTAACTGACCCCAATATTAAAAATGACTGCATTCTGATAATTTATCACCCATATGTCAACAATTAATTAGCTTAATTAGGGGTTTTTGTAGGGGCTGATTTATTTTTGAGGTTATATTTAAGATGTTAATAATAAGTTATCTAAGAGATCAGGGCCTGAAAAATTAAAATTACTTTTTTTTGTCTTCTAATCAATAGCATTCTGTTGGAAATAAAATAGAAGTAGACAATCTAATTGAAAGTGTAGATTGAAAAAGTGCTATACAGTGTACACATATTATAGTGAATTAATTTGCTGCTAATTTCAGGATATAAACATAGGTGGATATAAATATTGGTGCTGTATAAATATACATCATAGTGACAGCTAATATAATAAATAAATCATAATTTATGTACAACCAATTTTAAGTCAACCCTTTTTTCCCCAATAATTGTTTATTTACATATCTATATTTTTTCATTCTAGATTTTTTATTATTATTAGTTATTCTCATTAATTGTATTTTTTTAATTGAGAATTTTGTCCTAATTGTATTTCCAAAGTAAACTATAACAGTTAAATAATAAAGCAACAGAAGAATATAGAAATCGTAGTTGACAGATTAAAACAAACTGATTTTTACAATTTTTTTGATAATTCCTATAGGCCATAACTTTGAATCTAAAATGAAAAGATAAAATTACTTATTTTTTTCAAACAAAATTAAGCTGTAGTAAAAAAAAAAAAATAACAAGTGTCTTAAGACAAGAGAGAATAAAAAGATTGAAAGAGATAATGATTAGGTAGCCAATGAAAACATATGCATATATGTATGTAATTTTATTTGTATGTAAATGAAAAAATATTACATAAATTCATTATGTAAGCAAATTCATTACTCTTATGTATTCAAAACCTTAATTACATAGTTTTTGTAATGTGTTTCAACTCTTTTAATGGATCTGTCACTTTTAGAATTCTTTATTATACTTCTACGTTTATTATTCATAATCCCCTAAATTTACTGAAGATGAAGTTCATTTTCACTCACTTTTTATAAATTGAAAATAATACATAATAAATTTGCAATACTTTACCCTCAACAGTGACTTCAATGTCATCTAGCGAAGTTGATACATTACTCATTGTAAAGTGTGAATCAGCACCAAGTTGTGCTGTTAAGAGTGAATTACCACTCACTACTGGGAAGTCACCGGCCACATGGGCAGTGAATGGAGAGCCTAAAATAAATAACCAATTTGTATAAGTAATAGACAAAGTACAAATAAATTAAGATTATAAAATACTGGTTATTACTGATTGATTAATTTAAATAATTAAATATATTCTGTAACAGTAAAAAAGTTACTGAAAAAGATTTTATAGCAGTTTTTATTAAGTGAAATTTTGAAGTCATCTATATTATCCACTCCGCTGCTTATTTTTTTAATAGCTACTCATTTTTCTTATAAATTAATGTGAATTAATATAGATATTGTTCTTAAAATGTTACTATGAATACTACAGAAATATTTATAACAAATTGAAAGATTAAGTAACTAATACTAACTTCTTCTAACAAATTGAAAAGTTAAAAAAATACTAAAAATCAGTTTGTCAAAGTTGGTAGTTTTAGGGTTTGTAGATTTATGGTAGATCAGTGAACTTTATTTGCAGAAAAGGCAGAAAATAAGCTGAATTCCAGTTGAATAACTGACTTTTCAATATAAATTTTAAGACTCACAAAAGATCATAATTACACAATTAAGTACTAAATATATACTAATTTTTTTATCAATAGTAACTCTTTTATTGATAATAGTAATTAAAACATAATAATTTAAATAATATTTACCTGGGACTGCCTCTTGGTTAAAATGAATGCTAATTATGTGCTGGGTCGGTTCTAGAGGGACAAAGCTCACAAGAAACCTAGCGTTTCCCTGCGGCTGAACCTGAGTAGGAATGTTGACTCCCCTGGCACTGATAGTAATCTCCAAATTGCCTTCCCCAGACTGGGAAGCATCCACTAAAAAGATTAATTAATTATTATACTTTATCAGTCATAATAATATAGGATTAAATTCTTTAATATAACAAAAATTACCAGTAAACTGTAATGGAGATCCAACATGGCCATGCGGGAGGGGTCCAACATATACTTTGGAAGCGTCATAAGCTTTGGCTGTAAACGGGGTGCCTTGCACGGGCTGACCATTGTACAACACAGATATTGAATGTGGGCCGACAGTTCTAGGCGTGAATTCCCCGGTGAATCCTGACATCACGTTTCCTGTTACTTGTACAGGAAGCTCATGATGAGGACCTATAAAAATACAAATTTTAAATAAAAGAGAAAAAAGAATGGTATATTTAATATAATCTTATCTCTGCATTAACTCTTAAGCAATAACTGACAATAAAAGTTCTATATCGCTCAACAGCTTATTTAATAGTTTTAATACTAGAGTGAATTTAATCTATTAACATTTAATACATTTTTTTTTTAAGGTTTTAAGATAATCATAATATATGCGAGAAATTCAAATCTTAAGTCAGAAAAATCCATAATTTGTAGTCTTGAGTATACATGATTAAAATTTATTAACACTAATTGAATACACAATTGATTCAGAAGATAATTTTTCATGTATTTTTGTAGCATAAAGGCTAAATTAAATATGGAACATAATTAGATAAATCAAAAACAACAATTAAGGTTATTTGATCCACATTACTTCTAAAATTCCCAGCAAAAAAGAGCTCTTTAAGTTAATAACTAGAGGCAGGATTTCCATGTTATTGTACATTTTATTCGCTTGCATAAAAAATTTAAACCAGAAGATCTATCGATTTCATGATCTGTAGAATAACATCCTGAAATTTGATTTTGTACAAAATTGCAATTTTTGCAGTTTTAAGCCTAAATTGCACGATTTTGTTGCATCCAATTGCACTTTTTTCTCACTTTTTGAGTTAGATCAGACATTTATAAATATGTGTGTATAGATATTTAGACTTAATTTTACTATCTTGTCGATATTAAATTGATAATTTAAAAAAGAAAAATATGAGGAAAGTAAATGATTCTGGGACTGGCAATGGTTTAAATTTAATGTTGCAAAAGGAAGAAGTAAACACAAGTTAATAATATTCTTGGAATAGAACTTGCCTAAAGTATTGGATAACAATAAAAAATTGCTTTCCTAATATAAGCTGACTAGTTAGATAGATATTTATTGTTATTTGACTTGAATTCTCATCATTCTTCAGCACTTCAGCATTCAGGCTTTGAAATGAATTCATTATATCAAATTACCCCGAGCTAAAATTTGAAGACCATTTTCACTATGCCATGTTAAAAAATAATCAGGTGTGATAGAAAATTACAGATATATGCTCATAGTAGAACAGGTAAGAAAAATATTCCTATTAAAAAATGGATTTTTTTTTTTTTTTTTTTTTTTAGACCTGTAGTTCTAAAGTTTCCTAAAAATTCTTAGGAGTTTCATTTTCAATGTTACATTTTTAAGTTTAATTTTTTCGTCACACATTATTTTAATTCAAAAGCTTTAAAACAAGGGTTGATCAGATTTGGATATATTAATCTTATACATATAAATATAATAAATAATTGTTGCAAGTTTTCAGGTGTTAATTATCCAATTTTACATATTTTGGGTTTTTACTGCACAATTTTACAGAGTTTGAGTTTTTGGTTGGAAGTTTTTACAGATTTATAATGCACAAAGTTTACAGCTGCACCTATATTTTATATAACATTACCTATATTTTATTTTTTAGTTTCATATGAATTGGTCGCTACTAATATTAAATTTTCAATATTACTAATATTTTTAACTTGTGGAAACAGCTTTGGGAATTATTAGAGATTTCAAAAGTATTGTAAATTAAGATTAGTATAACATCACGAAACATAACTTTTCTAAACATAGAAAATGACTCTGACTCAAGTGAGTTGTTCAAGAGAAACATTGAATTATTCATAACTCAAATGAATCATGAAAACCATTTTGTTTAAAAGGTAAATGAACGTGAACAGCACTTTAAATAATGAAAGGTTTAAATACCTGTGACTGATACTGCTAATTCTGCTGAACCTGAGCTGTCAACTGTCATGTGAAACTTAGCAGGTTGGTTAATCGGAATCAACTCTAAACTGCTGAGGTTCACAGAAACTTTGCTAGTGTCGGCGACAGAACAAACAAAGGGGCAACCTGTAACGAAAAACTTGATATTAAAATAAAATAAAAGAGAATTAAAAATAATGTTAAGCATTAATGGTGGTATACGGCTAGCTAAAATTAAAATATTTCATAACTGACATCTATATTATTAAAAATATAATCAAATACATTAATGATTTATAAATCAGGGATTTATTTCTTCTGTTGAACAATTTTTCTATTTTTTATATAGCATTATAGACCCACTAAATGTTCACAGTTAAAAATATAATTACTTACACATATTTATGCAATAAATATTGAAGTATATGTATGTTGTTTAATTTTTTTTTTATCTTTTAATTTATTTAAAAAATGTAATAAGAATATTTCAATCCCTATTTTCCGAAAAACTAAAATTATCCTACTGGGGTTTACTTATACAACTACCTTATTATAAGAATTTCAAATAATTTTTATAAAATACGAACACTGTATATGTTTAACAAATAAAATTTGACATAAATATTCAATGTTTGCATATTAAGATTATTAAGAAATGCATCTTCAGTTACATAATAAAATTACTAACAAGGGGTGGCCACAGTCAGTGGGTCACCAATTGCAACCAATTATTTTTTTTTTTTTTATAATTTTGGAATGAAAAATAGTAGACACAAGTCCTGGCGTTCGTTATATTGGGCTTTAGGAGACGAGAATTATGTAGTTTATCACAAATTTTCTCTTCCTTTTGATTAATTATAAGAAATCACAACCATTACTCTATTATCTTTAGTGATGTGATTACAATTCATCAAGTTTATTTTTATAATTAGTCACTTTTTTTTTTTTAATTTTCTTTTCTAATAACATTTTTTCAAGGAAAAAGAAAAACAATTGAGGTGGTAATATGCTAGGATCCAAAAAACATTGAAAAATTAACTATAAAAAACTTCTTAAAAATGAAAATTCTTCTAAAAATTTATTTACCTTTCTAATATACTATATGAAACAAAAATAAATATCCTCAGTTTATTGCGAAAATTCATTAAGTGATACTTAATAATTAAATTACTAAGAACTTTGATGAATTTCCCTTTGTGAAATTAGAATATTACACATTTTTTGAAGGGTTTGTATCATTTAGAACATTAATTTTTTTATTGATAATTAAGGTAAACTTCCAAACAAACATTCTTAAAAATTAAAAACATGCAGTTGGTGAATTTTTGCAATAAACTGACGATGTGCATTATTTCATAATAAATCTTTATACCACTAATATTTTAAATATAATGAAATATATTTACCAGGTACGGTCTCCCCATTAAACTTAATATCAATGAGATGAGGTTTGTTCTGCTCTGGTGTAAACGTGACAAGGCACCTTCCACCTCCGACGACAGTGACATGGTTGGGAACTTCGCCTTCATTAATAGAAATCTCTAACTGGCCCTCTCCTGCCTGACTTGCATCAACTAAAAATTTTAAAATATATTAGTACTATGCTAAATGATAAGTTTAAATAATCCTCAATAATAATTAAACTTTTTTTTTAGTAGCAAGCATAATTAATAATATATAAATAGTAAAATAAATGATATTACAAATAATTCTGATATTTAATGAAACACACTTACCCCTGAATTGAGACGGTTGTCCAACAACACCACTCGCAACATCACTAACCCTAATAAGTGATGAATTGTACACTTTAGCGACTAGTGGACCTCCAGGCAGTTTTTCACCTCCAACACTGATTTCGACAACATGGCTTCCAACATCTGAAGGAGTGAATTCTATACGAAATAATCCGTTTCCTTCACTGATTATAGACGACTCCAGCACACGTTTAGATGGACCTATAAAACAATTTTAATGTTTTTCTAACCAATCATAATATGCTCTTTAAAGCGTCTTTAAAAAAAAAAAATTAAAATCCATATCAGGATGAAATTTAATTGTTACTTACTAATGACATTAGCTTGAATATCATCGACCCCATATCCTACAGCAGATATCTTGAACGAAGTTGTGAGGTCTACTGGAACTAGGCGGACAGCCTCTCCGATGGCGGCCACCTTCGGTCCCGGACCTCCACTCATCACCACTACCGTCCAAGGACTTCCTGCAATTAAAAATTTATAGTAAATACATACAAATTTCAGAGTTTGCAATTATTATTATTATTATTCAAACGCAAATGGTAGTATTATTGGAAACGGCAAGTATTGTTCCGAAATTTGCAATTATTATTATTATTCAAACGCAAATGGTAGTATTATTGGAAACGGCAAGTATTGTTCCGAAATTTACTAATAAAAAATAATTTTGAAAATATAATAATGTAATATTTGGTTGACCAATTTATTATAATTATAATTATATTATTAGTTAATCAAAACTGATCAAATTTTACATATCTTTTAATAGACACACACATTAAAATTAAAAAAAAAACTCCACATTATGATATAGTGACAATTCCCAAAGCAACGAAAAAGTCAAAATAAATTTTTTAAAAAATGTTTCGCTAATGTGAGGATTCAATTTAAAATAAATATTGCCAAAATCAATAACATAGATACACTTTTTTATCTCTATCTTGTTCAACTTGGCAAACTGTCTAAGAAAGATAAGCAGAATAAACAAAAATTATAAAAAGAAAAGGTTAACTAAGGAACTAAATCTTTTGTGCCCTGCCTAATAAACACCACCAAATGGTGAATGAACCTATCTCTTATTTTATTATAATGGATCTGCATTCAAAGAAGTAGATCATAACAAAATAGACAAGACAAATAAATGATCAAGCAGATATGTAAATATTTTGATCAAATATCAAGTTTTATTCTATATTATAAGTCTTAAAAATAGGCTGTTATGTATGTTAGCAAACCATTATTTTTGAACTATTAAATTATGCAGATGACTGCTAACATGGAAGCTATAGAGATAAGCAGCAGTTTTAAAAAATAATAATAATGATAAATAATTATCAAGATGGTATCAACTGATAATGAAGAACATGTCGAGCTGTGTGGCCAATAAATCTAAATTCACAACAATTTCACAGAATTTAAGCAATAGTTAGAAAAATGTAAAAGCCTTTTTTTTGGGACATTGCATTTTTAAAAATAGATTTGGTTTCATAAAAAAGTTTAAAAATTTACATGGTCAGTTTTAATAAGAGAACTTTTGACACACCTCTTTCATATAAACGTGCAATGATGATTGTTTAGATTTATTTTTATTTTTGATATTCAGAACTCGACAATGAACTCTTCCATTAAGTTTTCAAATAGTTGATGAAAAATTAAACCCATATCTTACCCACTTATGAAAATTGAAGAAATATATAAAATGTATTGGAATAATTATACCAAAACTAAAAATATTTTTAAAAGATTTAATCCTGACATTTTTTTATTTATTTTTATTGTGATTTTGAAACTTAATTTTTTTTTAAATCCCAGCTCATGTATTGGGCAAATGTGCGAATAACATGCTCCTCCTTCAGTTACTATATTACACAACCCTTTTCAGGTTACTAACTAAATTTGACAACTATTTCTTATGCTATATTACTTTTAACCCATAGTTTACGTTGTCAAATTAAACGGTGAGGTAGGAATAAATGCAATATTGAGCTAAATCTTAAAGGAATAAAATTAGAAGAACCAATACTCATGAAGTCCTAACACCCAGACTACTCAAACGTTGAACATAAACTCTTTCTTATTCATCTAATAAATAATTGAAAATAATCTGTCAAATCCAACAGAGCTGTGAAATGCATGATTGAATCAAAGGAATGAGAAGGAATATTAACAGAATTAAACGAAAGACATAAATAGAAGATGCGGTATAAATGAGGCAAAGATAGGTGCTACAAAAGACCAGGAATAGTAGGAAGTACAGGAACCATAGAAGCGGTGAAATGAGGCATTTCCAGGGGGTTCTAGAGACTAATCATAGGAAGTAATTGATCAGCCTTTTATTCTGGTCTCAAGATCCCCCAACACCCCAGTACACAACGTAACAATAGACAATGCGGGAAGGGCGAGGGTATCAAGAAAGTGGTTGGAAGCTTGCCGATTACCGATCAAAGGAACTCACAAGAGGGTCGTTGAAATGCTCGCATTAAATTGGAAAAAATGGTGGAAGATCCTTGATTTTGAAGTATAGGATGCATTAACCAAACTCAACTTGGAAGTGCTCTAATCCAACTGTCGTAGTTTTAATTTCTAATCACTTCAATAATCATATTAACGTGCAAAGATCACCATCTTAAAGCTCAAGTGGACATTTTCAATTTTTTTTAAAGGGAAGAATACCGATTAAAAAAAAAAAAAGAGCTTCAAGAACACATCGATGAGAAAAATGCGGCAAAAATTCTTCCGGTGTATAAAGAGAATGAATCGGAATAGAATCAACAAGCTAATATTCGATAAATTAATGGGACTGAAAAACATAAAAGGATATCCGAGCCAAATAAAAGAAAAAAAAATACGGGTTTCAAAGAGGAATATTACGAAGACAGAGAACATTTTTTGAAAAACATAAAGACACTTGAAGTGGAGAAGAAGAAGCAAGAAGATAAGAAATGAACAGAGGAAAGGAGGGAGATGAGAGGAAAATTATAAGAATATGGACAAAAAATAAACAAGCCTAGAAATTGCATACGCATGGCCTAAGTTGGTCTGTATGAGGATAAATATGTGTGTGTGTGTGAGTGTTTATATATATACATATACACACAAGTACACGTACATATACGTGCACATACAATATATACACGCAACATAAGCAGGTCACTTATATTACCATTCTCTTCCAATTCAAGTTAATTTGTGAAATATATTGTTACTCTCTCTCATTTGAAAGTAGGGCAATGAAAATCAGTTATACCAAAATAAATATGGCATAAAGAATTAACTTAAGCAACTATCAATATTAAGAAGATAATTTAGAAAAGTTTCCAAAGCAAACAGGGCGGCGCCCGAACGGTCTCTATTGGACAATCAAGAGAAAGGTATGAATTCCAAACACGCTACAAAATTTCCCAACCGTTTTCCTTAGTTAAGACACATATCTTACCATTACTTAAGTGACTTAAGTAAACCGGGCACTTGAATTTTACGAACAAAATAAAAAAATGTTCTAGGGGTACAGCCAAACCTATTTTAACCAGAGTATCAATATCGAAATTCATTCAATGGGTCCTCACGAAATAAATTGCAACCCGCCCATGGCGGATTCGAATTGGCACCGCTAGACACGAAGACGTTAAAATACGCTCGGCCATCACAACCTCGATATGTTGTAAGATTTATGGACTCATATTAAACAACGTCTTATAAGAAGCATGGGAAAGTAAATAATGTACGCACGCGGAGACAAGTATTTTTTCATCTCACACCCATTCAATTTCAAAAAGAACTCTTTAGTTAAGTGTATTGCTGAAATCAAAATACGCACCATAAATATAAATCATTTTTTATTTATAACTAGAGACCGGATTTCCATGTTATTGCACATTTTATTCGCTGGCGTGTAAAAACTCCGGACCCGAACATCTATCCGTTTCAGAACCTGTAGAATAAACTATTTAAATTTTATATTGCACGAAATGGCACGTTATGCCGTTTTGGGCTTAAATTGCACGATTTTGATTTTTATTGCATTAAATTGCATATTTTTGCTATATTAGACGATTTATAAATACAACTGTATAAGTGAGTGTATTAATATTTATTTTACTATATTTTTCAAATAAATTTATCATTCAAAATAAACAAATATAAGAAAGGAAAATAATTCCGTGTGAAGCAAAAATCGTATTCATTATAAAAGGGAGAAGTAAACAGAAGTGAGATCTATTCTTGGAATAGAAATTGCCGAAAGTATTGGATAAGCTTTCCTAAAATTAGCTGCTTTGTTAGTAAAACATTTATAGTTATTGTTTTTGCTTGAATCCTCACTCACCATTCAACCCTTCAGTATCCCATCTGGCTTTGGTTTGATTGGTAGAAATTTCATTCTTATCAACAAAAAAAAAAATATATTGCTGAAAGTAAAATCTAGTCTCCCATCAAACATTAAAATCTGGATATAAAAATAGCCCGATTTGAAATTTGAGGACAAAGAGAAATGATGAGAAAGTTCTATACACCTAATGAATCAATCAGGTGATAGGAAATCACTGATAGACGCTCACTTGGGAACAAGTAAGAAAAAATATTCTTATCAAAGAATTGAATTTTTTTTTTGTTTTTTTAGAAAGAACCTCATACCCAAGAATATTTTTTTTTAGTGGTATAGAAAAACAGCTTCAACACTAATTTTTGAACACTTGAAAATCTCAAACATTACAGTATATTTCAAATTTTTTTTCAAAATTCTTTAAATTATAACAAAAACGTTTAGGAATGTATAATATTGGAAACTTCAACTAGTTATAAAGTAAAGTTTTCATTATTATTTTTAATAAAAGTTGTATATTTAAAATTGGTCTAATCTATACATAGGCACCTATAATTCCTGCCTTCATTTATTCTTTGAAACCTTCAATTCTCTGCATTATTTGATCATAATCGTTATTATAATCTGGAATTTCATTTTTAATGTTACATTTCAATTTTTTTTTATCTCTCGGTTAGCTCAAGATCTGATAAGATTTAGATGTTAATTACACAATTTTACGTATTTTGGATTTACATTGCACGATTTTGCACATTTTGAGTTTTTTAAGGCACGAAAATCAGGTCTCTATTTATAACATTTCTTTAATACTTCTTGAACAGATATTTTCGTTATTAAAAAATTCGCTCAATAAAATTCACAAGATAAAAAATGATATGCAAAGTTTCTATTCGAAAGAATGGGTCAGGCTGAGAGGAAAAGAACTCAACAGTAAGAAAAAAACTCAAATATAACACTGTAAAACATAGTTTAACAATTCTTTAATCCTGTAATATACAGACAACCATAAATATCGTCATTAAATTCTTTCTTATATGTAAGTTTTAGTAAAAGAAACTAGAATTGTTCGACCAATAGGGGAGATTACGGTTGACTGAAATAGATATTCCAGTTGAGTGGGTAATGATCAATGACACCTTCACTTGTGATGACCACAAATCCTCTGGAACAGGGATACGGACGCCCTTTGTCTCAGGCGGAACAGGGGCAGGAAACGGGGG